CTCCTCATTTGGCTTCCCAGGCGATGCAGACAGCCGACCGAGTCCCCGGCCTAGGCGACACAATGTCGACGCACTGCGTTGCCATGCCGCCGACCGACCGACAACCCTACTCCCTGTTGCCATGGCCACGAAATGAATGCGCCCAATCGGCCAGACGATATGGGGAAGTACAGGCGGCCTCGCAACATCGCTCGCCGGGAGGCGTGAGACCAGCGATTGGCGAAGAGTTCTTTACATCCGACGTACCGTTGAAGGACGACCGAAACAGATCAGAATTTCACAGATCGCCTGGCAACAAGGCCAATGATGAACAGCCACTGTTGCGGATATACCCACTTCACGAGGAGGGCAGCATTTGTGACAGTCATCGGCTGGACGGGGTGAGTCTTCGCATGTCTTTGGGCATGAGTACACATCTTTTAGGCAATTTCAGGATCATGTCGACAAAGTACATGTCCTTCCAATTGTCAGGCGGCTGGTGGCCAAATTCAGATGGCGACTTTTGGGGTTCATACCTCATAAAAGGGTAGATCTTCCCTTCACATATTCCACTCAAATTGTCATTTACTGATGGGGGCGCACCTGAGAAGGAACCTTCTCGACAGATCTCGCAACATTTGCAAGAATTTTGATCCGCTAATTCGTGCCAAAAGACCAGGTTTATTACCTTCTGATTCTTTCATTTTCTACGCAAACTCGAACAAAATGGAAGCCCCGATTGTAAGGAATCTGCGGTCACCAATTGTAGGTCCAGATAATCTCTATGCAGGACAAACAAATGTTGAGATTTTCTAAGACTTTCACCACATTAAAAAATGCCTCTACAGTATTCAGAACGCCAGTTTTACTTACAGCACAACTTAAAGTCAATCTTCATGTCTTTGATCTAATACTTTGGTTCGTGAAAACTTGATAAGTGGTTCGAGGATGGCTTTCAAGATGTGATCTTTGATGTTAACGCAGGTATTCACAACCCTGAATTTTTTATCTACAAATGACAACTGAGATTCGATGAATCTCTTGAGACTTTCTTTGTGGCCATAACTTTCATTTTATATCAGAGTATAAAATGAAGAGACCTGTAGATCAACCTCACCAATTCGTGCTTTTGGACAGTCGCTTAGGTTGACACAGTTAATGAGACCTTCTTCCTAGTTTTCAATGAAGACGGACTCATCTTTCGTCCGTCACGCCACTCGACAGACATCTTCAGAGCTTAAACGCATTCCCGCAAATCACTGTATCTCAATGCGACGTAGTCATTTTCTTCCAGTGAGAGAGACCTATGAGCATCATCATCAAAACCATTTCATACAAAATAAAAGTCCACACAGCAACGGGCTCTCAAGAGAATCATCTAATCCCAGATACCTTTTGTATTCAAAGTATTTATAGAGGTTGTTTGTTCTTGTTTTCGCAACAGGGTCATATTGGTAGCAAGACTTAGAAAAACACACCTAGTCCGGAGTCCATTGTATGCATCATCATTTCCAAATTCGGACCGTGGACGTGGTACATTCCCAGACGTTTCGCCGACATCGTAGTCGGCATCGTCAGTGAGTCTCGTCATTCGTCAAGGAGACAAATGAAGCCGATCCTTTGACCAAACGTGTGCTAAACAGTTGTGTGGTGCTAAGAATGACGACTCCCTGACGATGCTGGCGAAACGTCTGGAAATTTACCAGGTCCACGATCCGACTTTGGAAATGATCATGCATACAATGGACTCTGGATTAGGTGTGTTCCTCTAAGTCTTCCTACCAATATGACCATGCTGCGAAAGCAAGGTCAAACAACCTCTATACAACGAAAGGAGACTGCGACTACACACACCATCTTGGTCTTCATACCTTCGATTAAAATATTTATATTCTTGGAAAATAGATATATTTACTCGACAATGACCTTTAAACCACTCAAAAGTATAATTCATCAAGTTTTCAAAGGCATACAGATTGCCTTTAAAATGTGTTGAATATGAAACTCACTTTATGGATAAAGTAAATGATAATCCTATGCATTCTGGTTTGTATGTAACTCAAAATGATTCCACACAGGCATTATTCAGCGTCGTGATCACGCTATCTTGACGACCTATTGTGTCGCACTAAAAGTTTCCAGAATGGAGACAGAGCAATGTCACGCTGCCTTAAAGACAGGTACACCCCACTTTTTCCGAGGTTTGCCTTATCTTCTGCTGCTGCCTGTAGGTTCAGCTTCGCCCTTCCGAGAAAATAAAACTCGCGATGTGTAGATTCTTATGTCGAAATGTTCATGAAAGAGACGCTCGTATAAATCGTCAGGCTATGGCTATAACAAAGATATTTTTCAGATTCTCCCCGCGATAATGGCCTCGGCTACCGAAAAATGTATACGAAGAAAAGTTGGGTTTCGAGGGATCTCTTGTTTCATAATTGTTGAGCTTACTTCCATTTCGAGTGGAAGT